TCCACGGTTCGAGCGCTCCAAGCCTCGTCTTTTTTGAAGCCGTCGTCAATTTTGCATGGCGCAATTTTGCATGGCGCTATGCTGAACGAGGTTGGGCGCGTGTGTTCGTGTTTTTGTCGTTGGCGCGCGCGTAGAGGCTCGTTTGCTCCTCGTTTTTTTTGCGTTTGCGTCGATTTGCTTGCGCGCGCGACTGCTGGCGCGTTTGCCTTTGAAATTTTGGCATTGCAGCGCCTTTGCCACTCACAGAAGCTGCTCTATTTAAACGTTTTCATTCCTGCTAGTGCATCCAATCCACACCACTTCATCTTCTTTTCTCCAAGCCGTTTCCTCTTCTTTTGTTCCTGGTCTGTGCTAGCGCGTTGAGCTGCAAATGTCAGATTATATTCCTAGGTTCGATCTCAACGTGCTGGCATCCGAAGATGACGAAGGCAACAACAGCTTTGATCTCAACGATCCGGCAGCAGAAGATGACGACGCCGACGCCGTGTTTAATCTCGACGAGCCAGAAGCCGACCACGCCAACCACGCCGACAGTGTGGGTACAGCGTGTTCGTTCTATCCTTTCGTAGTAGTTGATTTTTTTCGGTTTCTCATATCATTGTTTTTTTTTTACAGTACTTGATTTGAACTTACCACTAGATGAGTTCGGTGCAGTTGATTTCGACTATGTACAAAATCTTGCTGGTAACTTTTTTTGACACAATCACATTCATTTTAGTTAAGCCATGGCTACTTTGTTGAATGCGCTTGCTGATGATGCTACAGATACTTTGTTGCTTTTTTTCTTCTACTAGATCATGCTCATGATGCTACCGTTCAACCAAATCGTCGAAGGAAGGACATGACATACCACGTCACTAGACAAGTGTACCAAGCTTTGTTGGCTAGAAGCAAGAATGGGAAACTAGGCAAGAAGGATATAAGCTTTGTCGACTCATTTGTCAACCACCCAATTCTCCAGATTTTAATATTTTAGATTTGGGTTTTTTCGAGCAGTTCAAGCAATTCAATACAAGAAAGACGTCAAAACAATAAAAGATCTAGTTCCCGCTGTCCAACAAGTAAGTTGATCAATTGTTGACCCATGTTTTATATGCATTCACACAATATTGTCCATTCATTGATTCATTTCTTGAACTAATGTTTTGTAGGAATTCTTAGAGTACTCTCCATGGAAAGCAAACAAGATTTTTGTAACACTTCAAGGTGTTTTGAAGAAAGCAATGAAGGTGAAAGGATGCAACAAGTTCAAAATTCTTCACATGCAAAAAGATAGACTAGAGAGAGAAGGACGGCTGCCATTGCAAATTTCTTGTGAAGCTTCCTTGCTTGCTGAATGCATTGCTAGTCTTCCTGTAGCAAATTAGAAGATGCAAGCATGTTAGTCTTTGCTGCATGCTAGTTAGAGCTTTTGTTAGCCGAATGAGACATGTACCTTAATGTTGTTCTTGTGCATCTTGCTTCTTCTTTGCATCTTCCAACTTCTTCATATTGTAGATCTCGTCGAACTTCATTTGAACGTGCTCAGGTATAAGTATTGTGTCACCATCCATTTCAAGTTTCTCCACATCATGGATGTAGAGCTCGCAATCAAACTTTTCTATCTTATCAAGCATCCAAGTTGTGAGATCGTAGTCATCACGAACAAGATGGCAACGTGCACACCTGCGAGCTTTGCGGCGAGCTTGGAAGCAGGCTTCTCCGAAGACGCCGCCAGCGTGCAACGTGCCGCAGCGAGCACACGGGGACTCGACGGAGTCCGGCATGACGTCGACTGAGTCCGGCACGAGCTCGATGGAGTCGGACACCACGTCAACGGAGTTCGGCATGAGCTCGACGGAGTCGGACACCACGTCGACGGAGTCCGGCACGACCTCGACGGAGTCCGGCATCACCTCGACGGACTCCGGCACCACCTCGACGGAGTTCGATGCCATCTCAGAGTCCCGCGCGGAGACGTCGCTGCGCCAGTCGAACTCGAACGCGACGGCAGCGGGCGAGCGAGCGTTCTGCTGGAGAAGACGAACAGCGTGCGGCGAACGGTTAGATGGCAGCGTCGATCGGGCTGCTGAGTTAACGCGAGCGCTCCACAGTTACATCAAACGAAGTGCGATTAATGCGGAGCGGCGACTGGAACGGGAGCCGAAGCGAACGAGGGCAAACATGTCCAACTTAACGGTCACCAGCCCAGAACGACTTGTTTCGTAAAAACGTCTACCAAGCCTAGAACGACATGAATTCTGGGTACGGAGGGAGTACTCCGCCGCGTATGAACTGGGGAAGCCGACGCCGTCTCCTGACATCCGGTCGTCGTCGCAGCTTCCTCGTGGCTCGTGCCATACGAATACTCACGGCCTCATGAAAGTCACGACGCGTTGACGTTCCTCCGCCGCCTGTCGACGTCATCTCCCAGCACGAGCACCGCCACCGTGCACCGGCCAATCCACTCCCGCGCACCGGGACGAACCCGTGCTGTCTCCGCGAAGCAAGCACACGGGCCACACCCACACGACTCCGCGCGAAAAAAACAGCAGGAAGAGAGCAATATCAAACGATCCGTCGGTTCAGACTTCAGACGTCGGTCCGGCTCACCACGCCGCACCGGCACCGCACCAGCAGGCACAGCCGCGCCGCGTACGACTGGGCGGCACCGGGAATTGGACTTTTGTCCGCTCTCCCATCCGGTACGCACCTCTCGTCGCCCTGTCGCTCTCCGTTTCTCCCTTTCTCCTCCCAGACAGACAGACTTGTTTTTGAGCTGCCGGCTGCCGGTGGGCGTATTCCGTCTGGGCGGTGGCCGACCTCTATGAATGGCTACGTGGACTATCCTAATCCTCGTCACCTTTCGGCGCAAAAACACATTTTTTCCTGTTGGACTAGATGGATTATGGATGCACCGATGGCTTCGAGCCGCTAGACAGCTCAACAGTAGTGCCAAAGAGGAGCAGCTTACTGGACCAGCTTTGTGTGTGTGGTATGAAAGCCTCTTGACCTTTGTTTGCTCGCTTGGTACTTTTGGTAAGAACATCTGTGTGGGCAAGGCCGGCCAGCTAGCATGCGATCGAGTAAAAACTCTCTAACAATCTGATTGTAGTTCTTCCTGGAATGAAACAACCAATGGTGTTCATACGAGGGTAAATTAGGAGCTGATGAAGATTCTCTTACATGGTGGTGGAGTCGTACAAAATGCAATTTAAGTATGATTAATATTCAAATCCTGCTAATGAATGCATAGGTTTTTGCGCTTGTGTGATTGTCACCTCTTTGCTATTCCAAGGTGCTACCAACGGTTGGTATCATACATATAGGTCCTGTTTGGAACAATGACCAACAAAATCGTGACCGTGGTAAGCCGAACGCGGCTTGAATCTTGCGATTTGCGATTTCGGCCTCCATAGTTCATTTCCCCGCTTATTCAGTTACGCGCGAAAATCTCAAGGCGTTCGGCGAGATTTTCTCCGGCGTCTCGCGTATAAGCGCCTCAAACACGGAAACAACACATGACCATAGCATATTAGCATCCTTGTCGTCTCGTACTTCCCAGTATGCGGTATACCCCGAGTATGCTTCCATCAACCAATGCATGCGATGAGTATCCTTGTAGCCACCTAGTGTGCGTGTAATTTTGCTTTTTTTTTAGTTTTTTTTCTTCTTTCAGAAGTAGAGTCACTCACAGCTAAATTTCCTTGTGAATTTGTATTTTTCCTAATAACCATTAGTCTAACGGTCAAAATAATCCAAACCACTTCACGGTGAATTTCTTTTCTTTGTAGCTGGAGTCCAAGCTTCCTCATAATTTTGTATTTTTCTCCACAACTCTTCGTATATATACCCGATAATCTTTATCTAAGTTGGCATTAAAATGCATAAGTTGAACCATTGTCGTCCCCGAGTTCAAATATGGCATGAATTTCAAACGGTGTGTGAATTTTCATTTCCTTGAAGGCGACATTATCCATCATTTCTTGTTTTGTTTATCATATGAAGCAGGCTGCTGGAACCTTCAAAGTTTGACGAGCATTTTGCTCCTATCATTTTCAACAACCTTTAAAGTCTCTCGCTTTATCGATCTCCCTTTCTCCTTCTTTTTCTCCCTAATTATGCAGATGTAGCTGGTCCATGTCGTCCTCTACGCCGTTAGCATAAGGCCCTAGGCGTTTGGTTGCACCTCCTAAACTTTAGTTGTTATCACATCAGATATTTGGACACATACATGGAGTATTAAATGTAGACTAATTACGAAACTAAATGTATAGATTGAGACTAATTTGTGAGACGAATTTTTTAAGACTATTAGTCCATGATTTGATAATGTGGTGTTACAGTAAATATACGTTAATGATGGATTAATTAGACTATAAATTCGTTCACCCCGCGTGACGTGTCTCTCCGAACACCCGCCTGCAGACGGCCGTTTTCCCCAGCTCGGCAGCTCGTCAGAACGAGGAGCCACGACAGAATAACGGCGCAGCGAAGAATTCCATCCAAAATATAAATGGCGCAAACTCCCAAACACCAGCTCCACCTCCACCACCACCTCGCCTGTCCTGTCTTCCTCTCCCTCCTCCTCCTCGTCCTCCTCCGCCATAGTGGCGAGCACGCCACCCGCCACGCCTCGCCTTCGCCTCCAATCATTCGCCTCCCCAACACAACCTCTCTCCGCTCCGTCCCGTTTAACCGGGTGATTAACGGATTATTAGTTAATCCGGAGGCTTCACCTCGTTCGTTCGCCCCCGCAAAAGGCTAACGCCAGCCCGGGCGCGCGCTAACGGCAGCAGCGACAGCAACCCGCTGGCTAGCTAGTCCTCCCCACGATTCGACTCCGCCACCGCCCCCGGCCCAGGTGCGTGGCGACCGAATCCTCCATTTCAGCAAATTTTTTTAGGGAATGATGTGGGGAGGGAAGGGCCGGGGATTTGTTTAATGGTGCCCGCGGCGGGGGTGGTTAAGTTGGTCCTCTGATCGGGGCTTCGGCTTCTGGCGATCTGGGAGGTCTGATCATGGCCGCGCCGGGGCCAGCGATCAAGGTACGCGGGGGTCTCTTCTTGGCTGCCCGGCTTGGGTGCGTCGGATCTGGGCTGTGGGAATTCTGTGAGTTTTTGGGATTTGTTAGTGGGTCGTGGATGAATTATGGGGTTTAGCATGTTGTAGTGGTGGGGAAATTTTGCTTGGTTGATTTCTGGATGGCGGATTGGGATCTGGCCGTTTGGCATTTGGAATGGGAATGCCCATTTTGTGCGATTTAGATCAGACGTTGCATCACTGTAATGGTTTAAGCCGCTGTCTGGAGACTAGTCTTATGAGAGGAGCGATTTTGTTTTTTCTTTTTGGGCGTGAGGTGGATCTGGGTTGTCCGGAATTTGGTCCGATTTGTGCCTGTTCATCTGCCACTTGATGGCTCTGTTTGCTGATCCTGATGCTGATTCGTGCTCCAGAAGTCATTGATTTTGGCTACCCAGTTGGATTGTTTTGGAAGCAAGGTTCGGTTAGTTTTGTGTGTTGGAGCATGAGTCATGCAAGTTCCCACACATCCATTTTGTTTTGGATTGAGTGAGCTGGACATGGATGTTTTGTTGGACCTAGGATGTCATGTCTTCTCAACTGGACTTTGGCTGGGAGTTGCACAAAGAAAATTCGCATTTCTCAGGTTAGCTTTCAACCTTCTGTTACATGGGCTGATCAAATTTGGCAGCTGGTACTTCATCGGAATGGAAGGTGGGAGCTCACTGAGCAGTTCCATAACATCCTGGAAACAAGTCAAGCACCTGTCTATTCTGTGGGTATAGGAGTTTGAGCACACAAAAGATGTGATGTTCTATCTGGAATTTAGTGAATTAGCTGGTATTTGCAAATCTTATGCTCAGTACTTTCTGCATCATAGTTGGATGCAAGCAATTTCTGTCACATTGTTGAAGCCGGATGATACTGTGATCAGGATGCTAGCTTGCTCTATGTCATGCCAACTCCTTTAGTTTGTGGATGTTTCTTGGGTGTTGTTCGAGCTGCAATCATTATACAGGAGCAGACCAGAGGTCTTGGGAATTGCTAGACATTCTAATGACATAGAAGGAAGTCCTCAGCCCTTATGAAGGGCAAACTCACAAGCGACATTGTGTTTCTATCAGTGGGCACTTTGAATAGGAAACTTTTGCATGCAGTGTTGTCCAAAAATCCGCATGTGATTCATCTCACTTTGGATTTTAACTATCCATGTCAAAATATTTTTAAAGGATCTGTATTTATGTTCTTGTTTAAGAATGCTTTTATACAGGCTTGCTTTGAGGATTCATCTTTTCTTTTCCTCCCTGTTTCAGCACACCTTTTCTTCTCTCCTGAAGCAAAAACCACCAAAGACTAGTCCGACAAAATCTAGGGGTCCTATGGCTGTTTCAATGAGGGAGGTGGATCCTGTTTTTCAAGGTGCAGGTCAAAAAGAGTATCCTTCAGTTTCTAGTCTGTACTGGTCACAATATCTATATTTATCCCTGCCAGTCGTTTCGTTCCAAGAATGTCATGTGCCATCATTTTTCTCATTACAGTCATATTATTATTTCGAATTAGTCCCTGCTGCCATAGTATCCAGTAGAAAATCCTTCAAAAACTTGTGGGTTGACCACAAACTATATTTCATGAACTGCGAGTCCACGGTAAACCTTTGTGATAATAAGTGGGGACATTAGGTTAGCATGGTGCTGCAGTGCTAACATTCAATTCTGTTTGTCTATGATTCTTATTAATTCATCTCTGTAGTACTATCCTTAACAACGATCAGTGGATTGGAAATATGGCGGATTGAAAAGTTACAGGCTGTTCCTGTTCCCAAGGAGTTGTATGGGAAATTTTTCACAGGAGATTCCTATATAGTACTGAAGGTACTCAGCTTTGCTCATATAGTAAATGTGTCAATTCCTATATTTAGTTCTATGGGAGAAAATGTTGTGAGCTGCCTGATGTCAGGAGTGCAACTGTTTCCATTGCTTACATCTTTACTCCAAAGATCACTACATCTTTACTTCCCCAGTTCACATGCTTATCAAATCATGCATCCTTCATACTAGAAGGGATTAGTTGTTTCTGATGCTACTGATCATTTCAGTATATTGTTTATGCTACAATAAAATGTTTATATTGTGCAGATACTCAGATTACAGTTATATGCTCATATTCATATCGATCAGGAGTGAAATCCTGATTGTTATTAATAGTTATTTTGTTCTTTGAACAGACAACTGCCCTTAAGAATGGTTCTTTTCGGCATGATATCCATTATTGGCTCGGCAAAGATACCAGTCAGGTTTGCTTTCACATTTTAAGTTCATTTCATTTGCTTGCAATGTAGCTAATGAACAAGAAGATTTACAAATTGCATTGTTATTAATGAATAGGATGAAGCTGGTACAGCTGCAATCAAGACTGTGGAACTCGATGCTGCTCTTGGTGGAAGAGCTGTCCAATACCGTGAAATACAGGGAAATGAGACTGAGAAATTTCTTTCATACTTTAAGCCGTGTATTATACCAGAGGAAGGTGGTGTTGCATCTGGCTTCAGGCATGCTGAAGTAAATGAGCGGGAGCATAAAACACGATTATTTGTCTGCAGAGGAAAGCATACTGTTCATGTTAAAGAGGTGAATTTCGTTGTCAATTGGTCCCTGTACATAGCTTCCTAGTACGGATACCACATTCCAATTTTTTTTCCCTCTCCAACAGGTTCCTTTTGCACGAGCATCACTCAACCATGATGACATATTTATTTTAGATACAAAATCTAAGATATTCCAATTCAATGGATCAAATTCAAGTATTCAGGAGAGGGCTAAAGCACTTGAGGTTGTGCAACATCTTAAAGATACCAACCATGATGGGAAATGTGAAGTAGCGGCAGTTGGTAAGTTAATTTTGGCCAAAAGGGTTTATACAAGCTTAAATGGACAAGGTCCAGTATTCTTTCAGAATTATAATTGAGTCTTTCAAACAGAGGATGGAAAGTTGATGGCAGACGCTGATGCTGGTGAATTCTGGGGTCTCTTTGGCGGATTTGCTCCTTTACCAAGAAAGACATTTTCTGAAATCAACGGGAAAGATTCTACTTCCACTACAAAATTGCTTTGGTAATATATCACAAGGGACAAAACATTGCGATTCTTTTTGAATGAATTATATCTTTCATGGTTATGCTATAGCATGTCTATTACTGAAATGTTTTTTTATATTTTTTTACCAGTGTCAATAAGGGCCAATCAGCTCCTATTGATTGCGAAATTCTGAAAGAGAGCTATTAGATTCAACAAAATGTTACCTACTAGATTGTGGTTCAGAAATTTATGTCTGGATGGGTAGAGAAACAACTCTTGAAGAAAGGAAACGAGGAGGCTCGGCTGCTGAGGTAACATTGTCTTGCTTCTGCAATCTTGATTTAGTGGCTATGATAATGCTCTCACTTTATGTGAACCAGCCACTACAAAGTTCACAAGTTAGGCAGATATAGGGAAAAAAAGAGGCCTATGAGAGGTCAACCACAGATGTAATAGAGCTAAGGTCCATCACCAATGTGGCAACCACAGGTGTATATTTGCTAAGAAATTTTGCAGCCAATGTTGACAAGCATGGGAAGCTTAGGCATAAAACTAGAAATTGCCTATAAAAGAGTTTGGGCCCACCCGCATCAATAATAAAGAGTTCCTATAGCGAGTATTGACTATATTATAGTAGTGCCATGTTTGACGTAAGTTAAAGTTTATGTGCAAGAGAAGGCCTTTTGACCAATTCAACTTTACTTGGCGGGTAGTTCAGCAAATCAGCATGATCCACAATATGGGTTTTCATCAAGTTTAAGATATCCCTGGTAGTTAAATTCCATTATCTGAGAAGATGCCTTGGCGTTCCAGTTTTTCTCATTTTCCAATTTGCCACATATTTTAGACAATATTTGGCCTATTTCTTTCTCTAAACATACAGAAACACATTCTTACTTCTGCAGGAATTACTACGTGAAGGAAACCGGCCAAAATCTCATATTATTCGGCTCATGGAAGGATTTGAGACTATTACATTCAAATCAAAGTTTGATAAATGGCCCAAGAAAGCTGATGCAGTTGTGTCGGATGAAAGCAGAGGAAAAGTGGCAGGTTATCATCTGAGCCACAATTTTTATTTTCATTTTATTTGACTTGGGGCTCTTGGTGGGTTTCAACTCTAGCCTACCCCAGCTTGCTTGGGACTGAAAGGCTATGTTGTTGTATTTTATTTACTACAACTGATTCTTTATAACTAAATTTCCTACTGTAGCTCTTCTTAAGCGACAAGGATTTAATTTTAAGGGTCCAGCAAAAGCTGCTCCTGTAAAGCAAGAGCCTCAACCTCAGATTGATTGCACTGGCAATTTACAGGTCAGTGAACTTCCTTTCTTAGAAAAGATATTGCAACCAGACCACAATCAGTTGTAGCTATTGATTTATCATTTATTGAGCTTGTGACATAATACAACTGATAGTAGGATTGTACTGCTATATAATAGCCTGTTACATTTGTGTTCTTTTTTTTTTGGGTTTTTGGTGTTCTTGCCCCTTATTTTCAAGTGCAATTGTGATTTTGCCCTCGTTTTTCTAACTTTGTGATTTTGCCCTTCACTGTTAACAAGTCAACGCGATTTTGCCCCTGGTCTTTGCGAATTTGCCCCTGTTTTGACCGTTGACTAGAGGCAAAATCGCGTTGACTTGTTAACAATGAAGGGCAAAATCACAAAGTTAGAAAAACGAGGGCAAAATCACAATTGCACATCAAAGTAGGGGCAAGAACACAAGAGCCCCTTTTTTGTTTGGTGTGGGTGGGTGTGTTGGGGGAGGGTGGTGGGGGGTGGGGGGTGGGGGGGTGCAGTGTTGCTCTTACCATTCATGCACTCATTCACTTAAGACTTTCCTACCATAACACTAAAGTGCCATTTTTCTGGAGCTTTGCTGCTCACCTTTGAGGAAATATTTTACTGGAGCTTAGCAGGGCCCGGTGCATTTCTTTCCTTCTTGCCCTAGGGCCCGGTGTATTCTAATTCTCGTGTCATGGTCGTGTTCGTTGTAACAGAAGGGCAGATATGTAATCTCAGAAACAAGGGTGTGTGTTGTAAGGGTCTTGCCCCTTTTTCTTCTTAATATAAATAATAGATCATAAACATGCTTCTATATTTCTCTTGATAATATGAGGAGGAGTTCGGTTACATATATAGAGAGAGGCTAAGCTAGAGAGTTAAGAGGGGGGAAGTCCCAGGCAACATGCCTGGAATCCCTAGGCAGCACACTGGGTAGAAACCCAAGAGGCAGCCGATACACAGTAATATGCAGCACACTGGGAAGATATGCAGTTCTCCTGCGTGTTCGAGAAAAAAGAAACTAAAGTGTCATTTAGATCTACAGAATCTCAGGTAGCCGATATCTTACAGGTTTGGCGCGTGAATGGCAGTGATAAGACTTTCCTTTCGTTCTCTGAGCAATGCAAGTTTTACAGTGGAGACTGCTATATCTTTCAATACACCTACCCTGGAGACAATGGAGATGAATGCCTTATTGGTACCTGGTTTGGGAAGAAGAGTGTCCAGGTAACTGTTTAATGCATTTTCCATTTGCTGTATTGCACATATGATTGATACATTGCCATGAAACTTACGCAACGTCTCATTATTTAGTGCATGTCTTTTATTAACAATGTGCTTTGTGTTCTGTGAGAAAATGGAAATGCATATGCTGTTCTAAGCTGAATCATTAAAAGAAAGATTGAGCCTTGCATATTCTTAATTCTTAAAAATCAAAATTAGTGAGACCATACCACTTTGTATTATAGAAGATGGTCTTACGAGTATCAAAGCAACCAACGTCTAGTCTAGGAACTGATTCTATGTTGCTTACACTTCCAACATTTCTAGATTAATCACTATTTCCGAGGAGCATTCAGTTATGGCCTTCTGAACACTTTTGTTTCTTTGTTAAATGCTATCGAGTTGGATTACTTAACCATGTTGTTGCTTTTTCCATATATAAACAGGAGGAAAGAAGTGCAGCCATTTCACTAGCTGACAAGATGATTGAGTCTTTAAAATTCCAGGCTGTTCTGGTTAATATTTTTCCAGTCTTGTCTTAAAAGATTTTTTGTAAATCTTGGTTAACTATCCTAACCTCATTTTCTTTGGTCATCACAGGTTCGCGTCTATGAAGGAAAGGAACCCATTGAATTTTTCCCAATATTTCAAAACTTGGTTATATACAAGGTTGTTCTTTAACCAAATTCATGTGAATAAGCTTCTGTGAATTCTTTCTCCTTACAGCGGTAATATGATTGTTGCATATGTGTATTTTACTTTTTTCACTAAATACAGGGAGGTACAAGTACTGGGTATAAGAAATTTGTCTCGGAAAATGGCATTGAAGATGATACCTATTCAGAAAACGGGGTTGCACTTTTTCGAGTTCAGGGCTCAGGGCCAGAGAATATGCAAGCTATTCAAGTTGACACGGTACTTTATTTTTTATTATTGTCTTCTCCAAACAAGGCATTATGGTTGTGTTATGGCCTTGTTATCTTAGTGGGTTATGTTTCTACCACATTGCAAAAGTTATGACAATGCTATGATTCTTATTACCAGGCAGCATCATCGCTGAACTCTTCTTATTGTTACATACTGCATGATGGAGATACAGTATTTACATGGATCGGTAATCTAAGCTCATCAATGGACCAAGAGCTTGCTGAGAGGCAGCTAGATGTGATCAAGGTTTGAGGAGTGTTTTTTAGTGATTATTTCATGTTGGCATGGTTGACCATTCAAATGAACATTCTGCTATGTTGCCGCTGCACTTCAATGAACTCATTATCCACATGATAATTTAGGCCTTAGTTGTGTTTCTTTTTTCTGTTATTTCTAGATTGATGGCAACCAGTGTGTAATGACTAGTCAAGCATCTAAGCTAAAGCTTTTCTCAAAATTAGTTATGTAGTAGATTGAAGGCGGGCCTAGTGCAAGCGGTAGAGTCTTACCACCTGTGGCGGAAGGTCCCGGTTCGAGTCATGGTCTCCTCGCATTGCTGGCGAGGGTAAGGCTTGCCATGACACCTTCCCCAGACCCGCGCAGGCGGGAGCTCTTTTGCACTGGGTACGCCCCTTTTTTAGTTATGTAGTAGATTGCTAGTTACTGCATTTATGATGACTTAATAATCACTACAGCCATTTATATATTTTCTACTAATATGTTGTACAACGTTATCTTCGAAACTTATTTGCACACCATCATCATCATACAATATTATTTACTTATTCTAATTTCCTGTCATGTGTACATCATGTTATTACTAAATCAACATAGTCATTGTATGGCAGTAAATCAGTTCATTGCTTGTCTAGTTGTATTACGACAACATATATGCTTCCTGATCATATCTTCCCAACTTGCATGTTGGCTTGTTGATTGCTTCTGTGTAACTTTATATTTATACTTTACTTGAGCATGTTTCTGTCCTGGTTGCGCTGCTCACTGCTCTATCATCATATAAACTACTACAACACTGAAGCCAACCATTCTTCTATCCACTATATATGCAGCCAAATTTGCAATCCAGAATGCTCAAAGAAGGATCTGAATATGATCAGTTTTGGAAGTTACTTGGAGTCAAGTCTGAGTATGGCAGCCAGAAGATTGTGAGGGATCAAGAAAGTGACCCTCATTTATTTGCTTGTACATTTATAAAGGGTAAGACAAATTTGAAAGTTTCCCACTGCATTTATTCATTATCTTAATATCTTAATTGGTCTTTATAATTCATTGTGCACCTTATCTGATTTCCTCTTTTTTATTTTTTTCCCGTGGGCATACTTTGGGTGAGAAGGGGTGCTTAAGGTGCGTATGCTGAAGTTTATATATTGTTTGTCATGAAAATAGTGTGCTGAATAATTAATGCTGGTGAACTGGTTTTGTAGGTCAGAGAAATATTCAACTTCACTCAAGATGATTTGATGACGGAGGATATATTTATTTTGGATTGTCACTCATGTGTCTTTGTATGGGTTGGACAACGTGTGGACACAAAAATACGAGCACAAGCTTTGAACATTGGAGAGGTATATGATACATTCATATTTTCTTTGTATAGAGTGCTATAAATGAGAAGCTTTTTTTTTTCAAAATTTAAAGTGGATTGTGAAACCATGCTTTGTGGCAGAAATTTCTAGAACTTGACATTCTAATGGAGAATGTATCACGAGAAACACCACTTTATGTCATCACTGAAGGAAGTGAACCCCAATATTTCACCAGGTTCTTCAGTTGGGATTCAGCAAAATCAGCAGTAAGCACTCCCTTTTGGATTATATTGGCTTTGGAGTTTGTGCAAATATCACGTGCTAAACTCATGTTTTTGCCTTGTGAGTTGTTTCAGATGCATGGTAACTCATTTGAAAGGAGGCTATCTATAGTGAAGGATGGAGTAAAACCAAGAGCAGATGTAAGATTTCTGTATCCAATAATGACAATTACTACCTCCGTCCCAGGAAGGATGCAATCATAGGTTTTGCCCTGACTTAAATTTGATTGAGTTTATGGAACAATAGTAACAACATTTAAGACTCCAAATAGGTATATTATGAAAATATATTCCATGACAAATCAAATGATACCTATTTAGTATGCTAAGCATTAATACCTTTTTATATAAAAGTCAAACTTAAGACAGTTTGACTGAGCACTATTTTAGAATTGCATCCTTTTGGGATTGAGGGAGTATCTTGTCAGGCAGTTGGGACCATATGCGTGGCTGACTGGATCAACATGTCCTAAGTCAACTAAAAATGAAGTGAAATAAAGAAAAATAAAATTTGTTACAAAATGCAGTACTGTATATGTGTGAGTTATGGTAGCATTGTATTTTGGCACATTCATTTATTGGTGTTTACCACATGACCCTATGCAACCAATGGTGCATTTTCACCAGGTACTTTTGGCTAGTTATTTACGTTGTTGTTGAACTCATAATAATGAAAGGCTAAGTATCACTAGTCAGATCTCAAATTTTAGCATTTCTTGATATCTTGTGTTTTGCAACTTGCAAGAACATACATGCAAGAACGTACAAAACAACAAATTGGAAGTAGCTGGTAGCACATGCATTCACTGTGTTTAGCTCAGTTTCCTAATGCTGTTTTTCCTAGAATTAGGCTAATCCATGGTTATAATATTTGTAGAAACCAAAAAGAAGGCCAACAACATCAACACACACTGGAAGGTCTAGTGTACCTGATAAATCTCAACGTTCCAGAAGTATGTCATTCAGTCCTGATCGTGTAAGAGTCAGAGGAAGGTCGCCTGCTTTCAATGCATTGGCTGCTAACTTCGAGAACCCAAATGCCCGAAACCTATCAACTCCTCCACCAGTTGTTAGGAAACAACTTCCGAAGCCTGTATCTCCTGATTCTTCGAAGCCACCTCCAAGGACAGCTTCAATCGCTGCAATTTCTTCTACTTTTGAGCGACCTAAAGCAACTCTAATACCAAAGTCAATAAAAGGTATGCTAGCATCCCTAAAAAGGATAGTGGTATTTTACATTTCAAGCATGGCTTCTCTTACCTTCTATCTTCTTTTGGTGTCAAGCGAGCCCTGATGCAAGCAAGCCCCAAATTGAAGCGAGCAAACCTAAACTAGAGACGAACGCCAAGGAAATTAACCCTACAAAGGACAGTCAAATTGCAACTCCTACAGTAGAGGAAGATGTAAAAGAGAGTCAGGCAGAGGGTCAAGCAGGGCTTCCTATATACCCATATGACTGCTTGAGGACATCTTCCACCAATCCCCCCACAGACATTGATGTTACCAAGCGAGAGGTAAATCTTTCTGCCCTTACAGCACCATTGCCTGACTCAAGCCCTAAAACTACAATACTGGCACATTGCAGACATATCTGTCTTCGTCGGAGTTCAGAGAAAAGTTTGGGATGACAAAGGAGGCATTTGGGAAGCTACCAAAGTGGAAGCAGAACAGGCTCAAGATTGCCCTTCAGCTGTTCTGAAACCTGCTACTGTCAAACAGACTGCGCTTTTCTTTGCTAAGTCAAAACACAATGACACTGTTTTGAAAGGTAAAACCATTTTTCAGGCACAGGCACTCGCAATCTCTCATAGTCAATTCACAAGTGGTAAGAGTCATAATGCCATTGTAAGTGTAGCCTACCAGGGTCAAGGGACCCTCGGTGGGATTTGGAGGAGCAAGTCCAGTGAGTTTTTAGCTGCTCATGCTCCAGATTTGTGTTCTTCACTGACAATTTGCATGTGCGATGACTTGTGCCAGATCACTGCATTGGTGATCCGGTCACTCCGATTCTTTCCTACCCAAGGTCACAGGTTTGTTTGTGAGCTTGCGAACCCTTTTTTCCCCTGTGAAGCCATATTTGTTCTATTTTAAAAAAAAAGTAGAGTCCCGGGATAATAAGGGATAATGTAATTTAGACTGTACAAAAGAGTTTGTAAAATGTTATTTCTGGGGGCTGTTGTTTTGTACTTCCTGTTTGTTTCCGTAATAACAGATCATACTTGTAAATTTTTCCAGATACTTATTGTCTCTCATGATTACCTTGCTTATTTTGATGTTCAAGCTGTACTTGGTTGTTGCGTTGGTTGCCATCCTGGAGAGTTTACTTGGCATGCTGGAATTTCCAGGCTTAAAACCGAGTTGATTTCTCTAGCAAATGCCAGCAAACTCACAGTTAATTGCACTAAAATATGTCGCCAAGAACGCGTGCTCTGTCGAAATGAAAAAAGTTGACAGGTCTCAATGGTGTCTAAAGAGATGGCACCGCAGATTGGATGGTTAGATGATTACATCGTTCATCTTCTGCTCCTCCCCCTCAGCCGGGAGATGGGCGATGGAAGTAAGTTTTCATTTGAGGCGCCGGAAGCTAGCTGTTTCGTTTACATACCCGGTGGCCCCGCAGCCGCAGGGAGATGGGCGATGGGCGTGGACACGTGGTTAACGTCTAAACGACAGTAATAGTCGCAAGGTTCATCAGGTTCCCGTGCCTAACTAGAAAACTGTGCGCGGCGTTGCCGCGCTTCTCCATGATTTTCCCTGTATATACCGACATTCGTGTTTTTTAAATATATGGCTTTACCAAGAAAATTTTGGTATTTCTCAAAAAAAAAAACAAGAAAATTATGGTAGTACTAATACATGTAAGGTTCAGCTTATGTAATATGTTTGTTTCAATAAAAAATAATTTTAACAGGTACAAAACTTGTATTGTTCATTTGGTTTGAGGCTCCCTATTTGACTATTTGCTGTAGAATTAGGACGTCTATTTGTTAATGCTTTTTAGAGGATCCTATTGATTTTGAGTCAAGAGTTATACTTGCTCATGTCAAGTGGGAGAAGCTAATGAAAAAAATCTGTTGATTCGATGTTATATCGTTATCCTGTTGATGTTGTTCATCGAAATGACATCAAGATGAAGATGATGAATTATTGACATTTTGAGCAGAGCAGAGCATACTCGTAGTCGTAGAGGCAAAGCAAACCTTTTTTTTTTGGAAAATGGAAAATATATATTGTCATCTTTGAATTGTATTGACTAATCAGTAATAATATTACTATACTAGTTTCATCATTTTTCGGTTAGTTCTACTCTTTATAGAAATATAAGTCACAAAAAAAAAACTCTTTTTAGAAATAATTTTTTTTTGCACTCTCGTATAATATAAGCTATTTTAGGTGACACTTTTAGCCAGCGTACCATACCACAGATCTGGTGATGACTTGCGAGGTTTATTGCTAGTATATGTGTATTTCTAATGTATTATTAAATTTATTTTCCTGAAGGAAAACGGCCGTATTGTAGGCTTGCCATCAGATGACGTCATTCAAGCTAATAAGGAAAGGAACAAAGGCAGAGCAGGCTCCCTCCCGGCCGGTGCGTGCGCCTTGGAGTGGCGCCTTGCGAACGTGGCCTTGTAATAGCTGAACACGTGGCAAGATAAAATGCTAGATCTCATGGTGCAACTTTCGTCTTGTAAGAGAGAACATTTCTCTTATATTTCTGGTGCCTAATTTTTTGTTGCATTTTTTTTTATTTTTTTAACTATAAAAAATATGAACTATATCTTATGAGTTATTCTTTTTAATTGTATCGATTAGTTGTCTAAGATTAAAAATGAAGAAGCTAGAGTTAAGAATCAGATGGTGAAAACTCAACCAAACAGGAAAAAAAAACTCAACCAAACAGGCCCTTGGTTTGTTGAAGATGCATAAGTTTCATGGGCTTCCGTCTGTCAGCTCGTCTCGCCGGCTTAAGCAAATGGACACGCGCGTCGGCCCGTTCTCACTGCTCAGCCCAAATCGCGCGCCACGGCCCCTCCTCTCCTCCCCGTCGAGCGGCGATCGGCGACTGAAACATCTGCCTTCCTCCCGCCCGGCCGCCGCAGCCGAGCAGCCCGTCCACCTTCTCCATCTCCCCGCCGCTCATGCTCCACCGCCTCGCCCACACCCGCGTGTGCCGATGCTTCATCCTCCCCACACCCCGCGCGCTCTCCAACGCTCCCGTTCCTGCTCCTACTCCACCCGCTGCGCCGCCGCTCTCGGCCGCGGACCTCGAGCAACTCCTCCGCCGCTGTCACTACTCTGCCTCCACCCACCGCTTCCATTCCTCCTCCCCTCCTTTCGCACCCCTCCGTCCTCCTCTCCTCCGCGCTCCACCTAAGCCGCCGCGCGCACCCCATCCCTCCCCACCCCGCCCCAACCCCCACCAATCACCATTGCCGCCGCTGCCGCCGCGTTCTCCTCCCCATCATCCCACCTCCGCCTCCTCCTCCCGTCCCGTCTCAAGGGCCAGCCGCTCCCCGTCCCCACGCTCCCGCTCCGCCTCGCTTTCCGCTGCGCCGCCTCCGTCCTCGACGCCGTGTTCGCCCCGCGTGCGGCCACCTTCGCTTACCGCGGCCGCCACGCAGCCGTCCGATACCTCAAGTCCATTCCCAGCGCGTCCTGGTTCTTCCGCGTCGCCATCCCGCGCCAGCCCTTCGCCCCTCGCCACGTTCGCCGTCTGCTCGGTGCCATCTCCAGTAAGGTCGATGATCCCGGGTTCCTGGAGTTCCTGAACGAGCTGTTCGTCTCTGATGCTGTCGCGTTTGAGCTTGGTGGCTGCGAGCTCGGACGCGGGCTGCCACAGGAATCAGAGCTCACTGGCACGCTAGTGAACATATTCTTCAATATTGTGGATGGAGAGATAATGGCCATCCGTGAGGAAGTGCACAAAAAGCATCCTAGAATGAAGGATGACAGGGTTCGGCATACACCTGTGAGAGTGTATGCGGTTCGGTATCTAGATGATATTCTGGTTGTGACGTCTGGGTCGAAGATGCTCACAATTGAGATCAGGGACAGGATAATTGCAGCCTTGGAGAGGGATTTGGAGGTGAAGGTGGACAGGTTGGGGAGCTCAATCCACAGTGCTGTATCAGAGAAGATTGAGTTCCTGGGGATAGAATTCCAAGCTGTGCCACCGTCAGTCTTGCACCCACCCATGTCAGAGAAAGCGAAGAGGGCAAGGAAGAAGTATCTGAAGATGAAGGCTGAAAAGGCACAGGAGCTGAAAAATGCACGGGAGACGAGGCGGAAAAAGCTCGGCTTGAAGATACTGAACCACTTGTTCAAGAGGATGAGGAGGGGTGAGGAGTTTGAATTTGATTTCCGGATTGAGAAAGAGGTGCAGCAAGTTTTCAGGGACTGGGCAGAGGAGACAGTAGCACAATACTTTGAATCACGTGAGCATTGCCAATATTGGCACCGATTGCTTACGTCAGGTGACTTCTTGTCATTGAATAGGGTGAGAGATCAATTGCCACCTGCCTTGGTGGACTCATATGATAAATTTCAAGAGACAGTTGACAGTTTTTTGATGCCAATGAGAAGTCATGACATGACAGAAGAAGAGGAGAGGCTAGCTGAGGAGGAAGAAGATAAACAATATGAGAAGAGGACTGTTGAGGACTTGACAGAGCTTAAGATGAGGGCCAATGTGCCGATAGATCTTGTAAGGAAGGCGGTAAAGCTTACTGGATTCACAAATTCCATGGGCCGGCCACGGCCAATTAAGCTACTTCTCTGTTTGGATGATGTGGATATCATCAAATGGTATGCTGGCGTCGGGAGGAGGTGGTTAGATTTCTTCTGCTGTTGCCGTAACTTCAAGATGGTCAAGACTGTTGTCACTTACCACCTGAGGTTCTCCTGCTTCTTGACACTAGCAGAGAAGCATGAGTGCACAAAGAGGCAAGCAATTAGCCATTTCACAAAGGATTTAAAGGTAGCAAATCATGATGGAATGGCAGAAGTGTACTTCCCAACAGAACGTGAGATCAAAATGATGGGTGATAAAAACTTGTCTGACCCAAAGCCTGTGGATGGTGCCTTGACGATGATATTGGTGAGATTAGCAGTTGATGGCACCTCCTATCCATGCCTAGCTCATTTTTGTGCAAAAACAGAAACTGTGCTGTACAGAATACGTTTGCTGCAAAATCGCCTAAATATTGATCCGTTGAATGAAAAGAAATGGGTCCACGGATTAGGTGCTATTCATGAGAGTCTGAACAAGAAATGTCTCCCCTTGTGCTCTATGCATGCAAATGATCTCTTTCTTGGCAAGATCACTCTTCAAGATATTGACTGTACTCAATTTGTTGATGTGGAATGAGAAAAAGGTGTATTTGTGCAATATTTCTTGCAGATCATAGGTCATGCAGTATTGCAGGTTGTGATTGGATATTACTTCTTTTTACTTAATTCTTCATTGTGCCTGTAGAAGAAGCACACATAGGGTTCTGAAAAGCCTTCTAGGCATCAGATCATTACTAATTGAAGACTTCATGCAGTGTGTGGGACTTGAAGCAAACTATGTACATATCATGGTATCAATAATACTCAGCTCAGGTAATTCTTCCATTTGACTGCGTACATATATTCCAAATGGGTGACTTAAATTCCTCTGTTCGTTCTTAAATTATTTATATATGTTTCAAAAGCAAATGAAATTTAGTGATATACCAAGTATCCTATTCTTCCTTTGTTGTTTCGTCTTCGCTTCTAAATCATTTCGTTTAGTATTAGTATTAGTCAATTCTGTTGCTTACTTATGAATCAAATACCTGTTAACTGTAAAAAACCGGATGCCTTCTGAATCTCTTTATGGGCTAAAATGTAGGTCGTTTTAGTTTTGTCTTAAGTCAAACCTCTCTAACTTTGACCAGTTGTGTAGGAAAATATATCAGCATCTACAATACAAAGTAAATGCTCAATTTGTGTGTTGCTCTGTGAGCATCTTGTGCTGCAATGTGCGCTGGTAACACCAGCATTCTTGTAACACACTCTTACTAGCTTCCTATGAAGCCGGGACCATCTTTCTCTAAGAAAAATAAATGCACTGTCAAGACATATTCATGGTAGATTTGATGAAACTAATCTGATGTTATAGAGTGTATTTTTGTATAAACTTGGTCAATATTACAGAAGTTTGACTTAGGACAAACCAAAGTCTAAAGCGGCCTACATTTTGGAATGGATGGAGTAGTTGGTAAAGTCATGTTTCCTTAATTGGTTTCCCATGAAGTTTTAAAATTCAGTTTTTAACCCTGCTTTGAGGAAACACGTCAAAACTTCATTAGGCACTCTCCGTTATTTTTTATTTGATGTTTCTTACTCCCTCAGTCTGCAAATGTAATGTATAGTTTGTATTGTTAGGATAACACTTTGACCAACAAGTACTCTACTACTACTGACTACCCCTGTCCGGATAAGGATGCAATTATACTTCTGTCTCTAGTTAAACTATCTAAACTTTGATCAGGTTTATAGAAAAGATTAGCAATATATATGTAGGTGTATTATGAAAATATATTCCATGATGAATCTAATGGTACTTATTTGATATTACAAGTATTAACATCTTTTTGTATAAACTTGGTCAAACTCAAGATGGTTTGACTTAGTACTATACTAGAATTGCGTTCTTTTCCGAACAGAGGGAGTAATCTATTACTCTTTTTATACAAAATTGTTGTCATTAGATTCGTATTCAGAAGTACTTATTTATGATTAAAAGTTTGTATTTCGAAAATGACATTATTGGAGTAATCGCCAATATCTTGTCCTAACGAAACAAAATGTGCCTTACATTTCACAGACAAAGGAAGTATTTCACAAGGTTGCAACAATGATTTTTTTTTACCATTAGTTTTGTAGCTTCGTTTTAATATCTATTAGTAAAATTACAATAGGACTGATATGATGAAAGTGTTTTGAATATCAGAACTAGTAATGTAGTTTCCATTGTGCCAATCTATGTACTTTTGGACATATTAATGGTCAAGCATTAGAAGGTTAGTTCTATACTTTTATTAGTTGGTGTCTTTACTTTCCATTATTGCTCTTGGCATTACAGTCACTGTAGGAAAAAGATTTACAGTAACATAGCTCGATGCAAGAATATTATATTTTTAAGAAAAAATGTTGTAGCAGCATTTGGTGTCCCTCATGTTTGGCGACTCCCCGCCTTAGAGAGGGTAATTTGGAATCAGAAATCCATTTAGGTACTGTTTGGTTGAAAAAAGGTAACGGTAACGTAAATGGAACCTTTCCACTGCTGGAATGGGAAGGGAATAGTTTATTACGTGAAATGTTTGGTTCGGCCATGGTAATAGCACGGACGGGAATGGAATTGTTGGCCGATCAATTCGTCGTAATCGGCGCACTGAAGCGTGGATCGATTACCCTGCTACCAGATCCCGTTGGTTGTGAAACAAACATAAAGTACCGCGATCAGCTTACATTGTAATCGGTTCACGTCCATAAATGTTCGAACCAAACAGCACCTTAGTCTTCTAAGAATTTTTTGTTCAGCTTTCCTATAATATGACAATATGCATTTTTTTCATTTTAATGAGATTGTTGATGCATTTAAAATTCTGGTAACCTATATTATTGTAGATATTTCTTTTGCTTCTACTGTTAGCAATAGGGCTCTGAAGTTTATTATTGCAATGGACTTGCTTCCCAGACAACTTCAATCGTCTAGAAATATCTTATTCGCAACTGCATGGTCTATCTCTATCTGCCTGGTTGACTTACCAATTGCTAAGTATCATAGCAGCGAGTATGATGGGCAGCTAGGTACTTTTTGTTTCTGTTATCTGTATAATGGATCACCTTTGAAATTGATACCTACTCCCTCCGTTCCAAATTATAAGTCGCTTTGACTTTTTTGGTACATCCATTTTGCTATGCATCTAGATATAATAATATGTATAGATACATAGCAAAATGGATGAACCAAAAAAGTCAAAGCGATTTGGAACGGAGGGAGTACATCAGCACCAAGCAGTTTGATCTTAGCAGTATGAAGATCACACTAGTATGTAGTTCGAAAGAAACTTGCCATCTTCACTTTTGGATTGAATGTTCCCATTATCAACTTTTCAATCATGTTGAAATTATTCATGCAGCAGGGCCTGCCTGCTTGTCTCCTTGACTGATTATGTAGCCTAGAACTTTTTGACATTGTCATTTTCTGAATTTTGGATAAGCATTGAATGAAATTTTTCAATAGAAATACCAGATATAAAAGGCATCCAAATTATGGTTGAATAGTGTATCCAAATTATGGTTGAATAGTGTATCTGGTATTCTAGGTGGTGAGCTGGTTTTAGTTAGTGCATGAGATTGTCGTACAGCTCATGCATAGGATAAATATGAGCCAATAATCACTTGTGCACTTGTTAGTTTTGAACTTTTAATATCATAAGGAATCCTATGATACCAACTGAGCTTATTTTTATAGTGAAGATGCATCATGCCCAACTGGCGTAATCCATAGTCAAGTGGCTCCTGCTTCTCTCACATGGCTGTGGGTTTGTATGCTGAACTGAAGTTATTGCGACGATTTCTCTTGTCTACACTATTATGTGCTCTTCTTGTAGCTTTCCAAGTGCACTCCATTATCACGTGGCAGAAGTTGCTAACTGCCATATGCTCATATGCGATGTGCCGTGTCCTGCATGTGGCACCTAAACGGACTGTTTTTGTTCGTAGTGCTGTATCATCGATCAGCAACAGGATATACTGCCCCTTCTGATACTCCTCTTTTTAGACACATGAGAAAGATGATCGGGTCCATGGAATTCAGAACAGCATATTCATTTGTGCCTCTAGGCAGCAGCCAATATTACATGATTGCTATCTTATGTGCAGGGCACCCTGGTGGTCCACCAGGGTGACAGTTCCCCGTGCCGTCCACGAGGACAGCGGGGAAATCTGGTGGTTGCCATAGTGCGCGTCGTCACTTCAAATCCACAGCAACTCTGAGCCGCCGTATGTATGCACGTTCTGACTACAAGGTGGAGATCACTTCATCAGCAGCAAAGATTGCTAATTTGGACAATTACCAGTTACCAATAATATGGGCAATAATTGATGGCCCCAATTCTGGCATGCCATCTTCACATCGGATACGCTAGGGTGAAGCTTTGATTTGTGGGTCGTCCGCCTGTGCATGCAGCCAGTGGCAGCATCGGTATGGGCATGAACAGCAGCACCCCAGTTCCAGAAACCCCATCCATTCTTCAACTGTAGTACTGTACTATGGAAGTCAACTGTTCACAGGCAGTGTGAAAAAAAAGGTACATTTGCATACACTCCCGCAATAATTGAGTTCTAAATTTACATATTTTCACATTGCCATTGCAGCACATATACTAGTCTGTGGCATATCGAATCTTATGCTTGTCCGGTTTGCCATGTTCTTTCCACAGCCAGTCGCTGACTGTACACGCCGGTCTGTCTATCGGCCCTGCACGGCACGCATCTGCAGTTTTGTTTTGATTTTGACACTTCTGCTGCTGATGAAAGGCTGAGAGCCCAGAGAAACTGTGGGGGCGCGCGACGTTTCACACCGTGGGCATCGGAAGACGAATAAAAGAAAGCCCCCACTTGCCAAAGGCGGCTTCGAACGAAGGGCATCCCTGTATGCGGCCCGTTCGATTGGCTGATAAATTACTATTGATTAATTTATTGTGAGATAAAAATATTATTTGTTAACTTAAAAAGATACTGTTTATAAGGTAAGCGAACAGTCCCGCCAGCACGTGAAGCTCGTCGCATGCCCCCACGCGCGGTACAGCCTGACTGCCTGAGCGCATCCATCCATCCGAAGCCCCCGGAAGACCTCCCAACAACCAAGAAACATGTCACGCCTTTCCACTTTCCTGTTGCCAAATCACAGCTGGAGCTACGAAATGGCAGGACGAAAACGTCGCTGTTGCCGCGGTTTCTTATCGGTTGAGTTTTGTAGACGGGCCTTTCTTTTTCTTTTGAACTGGATGTGAAACTGAATCCACAGTCCTCTAGTCCATGCATGGGCACATGGTTTTGACGTTTCGTATACACGCTTAGAGCACTTTTGCAACATTTTACGCCAAAAGAGTGGGCTTCGGTTTGTGCTATATCGTGTTTTGGCAGCTACAGGTCACGTGGGAACTAGCCGTAGTCGTAACGCCTGCCAGCCACCTAGAGGATCCTTGCGAGAATGAAATACGAAACTTTTTATCACCCAATAATAAAAATACAGTGTGAACATAAACAACAGGGAGTCAAGAAAACTTGCAGATTGCTTTGGAAAGAGTCCTGTGAAAAACACTGCTACAA